GGACATAGAGGTTGCCTCTGTCCAAGGTTGGATACGCCATGCTAGGAGATACTTCCCTCGATGTTTGGCAAGAGAAAACGTATCTTGTGATGTGGACGAAGTATTGTGGCCAGACCCAGCCCGGAGAAGAGATGAAGCGTAATTATCCCCCCCTACCATTTCCTGGACTGCACCCCCGGGACCCCCCACACACAATTGTGTTCTTTACTGTATTCTAAAGAATATACTTTTGGTTTACATATGTTTATGGTTTTGTTGTATGCTACTGTATACAACAGTAATGTTTGGCCTAATAAATATTTTCTGTTTCTACATTGCATTGGTGTTTACAGTGTACTTGTTACCCCTCTCAGCAGATTACTTTCACTGTAGGACATTGTGTTGAAATGTATATATAAGGCTATGAAAGACCAAAGAGCTTTAGATTTAGAACAACAGTGTTTACATGGTATATCCAAAATTTACTATTATGAAAGTAGTGTTTGCCATTTGATGCAAATGCTTCATTCTGACATGTGTTTATGGCATTTTGAATGAAGTGTTACATTTTGAAGGAGATGTGAGGCATTTTGCATTTTGTGTGTGCAGTTTTGGGAATTGTGTGTAGAGTTTTGAAAAAAGGCGACATAGTTTTGAAAACGTGTGTAAGCAGTTGGAAAAAACTGTAAATCAACTACAGTTACATTGTTGTCACTCAGTGAGGGTGTATGCGCGAGATGAGGTCGCCTCCCGGGGCGGGGCGTCACTGGTTGAGACTTGCAGATCTTCAACAGAAAATGTGAAGTTATCTCGAAAGTTGCTCAATTTACTACTATCTAATTATTCACAATGGGGAAGCTGGTTGTCGTATCACTTTTTGTTGCTGCTTTATCAGCATTTCTTGGAGAGAGAGTTATTAACTTGAGGTAGGCTGTGTTTAGGTATTTGCATCTTTTTTTAGCTGTAATGAAATTGCATGCTAGCTGTTAGCTAGCTAGCCAACTTGGTATTTTTGCTAACAACCTCAAAAGGTTGATTTGTTGACAGCAAGCAAGATAAGAAAGCTAACCTGTTTTTCTATTTAGCTTGCCTTTATTAGGCAGTGCTTTATTACCGAGTAATAATGGTTTGGGTTATTTTCACTTTTCTGAACTTAAAGGTTGAGAGCTGGAGGGTCACTTCATGTTGTTGACAAACAGCGATGCTGTGTGCCAAGCATGGCCTTTTTTTGTCTGCCAATGAAGGCATACATCTGATCTCAACGCTGAAGTTACAGTAGCATGAGGCTATGATTGGAGTTGGAGGCTATACAAGACTTTATATCTGACTAGTCTATATTAATGATTGTTTGTACATAGATGCATATAAATGCCCTAAGTCATATTGCAGTGTTATTCTGTAGTTTTAACCATTTGAAGGGATGTAATTTATTTTACATGTTGCAGGAAAAGGACTCTTGCTTCCAGAAAGCTTGTCCAAACCCACCTCCCGAACTGCCATCTAATCAAAAGCCTTGGTACGTACAGTACACATGAATGTACAGGACATTGGGAACTTTAACAGTGCTGGCATGGATATAAAAGGCATGCGTTTCTATAAGCTCTATGCCACATGTTCAATGGTATTATATGAAGTACCTACAACGTTATTTGCCTGTAAAGTAATACACCTGCATTACTAGCTGTTTGGGGTTTTAGGCTGGGTTTCTGTACAGCACTTCGAGATATTAGCTGATGTAAGAAGGGCTATATAAAATAAAATTGATTGATTGATTGATAAAGCCATATCTGAACACCCCATGTGATGTGATTTCTGACAGAGTACGGATCAGAGGACCTCATAATACTTCCCAATGGACTTGCTATTATTAGCACCGTGAGTTACAACATTGATTTGGCCCCATATGAAACACGCAACTTAAAAAATGTATCTAAATAAATGTATTAGGCAATCTATGAACTAATCTTAATCTTAATATTATTGGAATTACTAGGGCTTGAAGGATCCTGTATTGCCATCCTATTGAGATGCCCCTGGAAAGATGTACACCCTTGATCTGAGTGAAGATTCTAGGATGAAACCAGTGGAGCTCCGCATGGGGAGAGGCTTTGACCTGGACTCCTTCAATCCACATGGAATCAGTGTATACACAGATGAGACAGGCACCCGATTCCCTATAGGGCTCTGGCCAACAGTAGTGCACTACATAGGGAATAGGGTGCTATTTTGGACATAAACAGGTTTTGAAATGCATCTGCTGCTCTTCCACTCGTCTTGTGTTAAAAGAGAACTGTCAACAACACAAGACTCATCAATTGATTGAGCTGAATCCTTTCATCACTTTCCAGATAACTCAGTATACCTGTTTGTGGTCAATCACCCTCAACAAAAAACCCAAGTTGAGATCTTTCAGTTTGTTGAGGAGGACCACTCCCTTGTCTATGTGAAAACCATAAAGCATGAACTCCTTCACAGGTATGAAAGAGCTAAATGTCATGTCATTGCTTCAAACCAATTTGGTTTATTAACTAGATTGTCGGTAGCGTTTCACATTACAGCACGGCTAAAAGTGTTAATAACATGGTAATTTACATTTTAGTCATTTAGCAGAAGCTCTTATCCAGAGCGACTTACAGTTAGTGAGTGCATTCATTATTTTTTTAATACTGGCCCCCCGTGGGAATCGAACCCACAACCCTGGCGTTGCAAACATCATGCTCTACCAACTGAGCTACATCCCTGCCGGCCATTCCCTCCCCTACCCTGGACCAATTGTGCGCCGTCGCATGGGTCTCCCGGTCGCAGCCAGCTACGACAGAGCCTGGATTCGAACCAGGATCTCTAGTGGCACAGCTAGCACTGCCTTAGACCACTGCGCCACTCGGGAGAGTAATAACATGGAAATATAGCCTATCCTCTTAAACTTGGCTACTCTCAAGACAGAGTTTGGAGAAATTAGGGACATTTGAACTGAGCACAAACTAGTGCGTGGGATACTCATATTGTTTTGTAATGTTGTTATGCATCAAACAGTTATTTAATATGCCATTTAGAGTAAATCGGTCTTACGATTATCTGTGGTTTTCTCTCAGTGTGAATGACATTGTGGCTGTGGGAGTGGAGAGCTTCTATGCCACCAACGATCAGTATTTTGGTGGAGGCACTCTGAATACCCTGGAGGCACTTCTGGCTCAGCCCTGGTCTAACGCTGTGTATTACAGCCCTGAAGAGGTCAAAGTAGTGGCTGAGGGATTCTACATGGCCAATGGCATCAACATCTCACCTGACAAAAGGTACAATAATTAGAATAATAATGTATTCAACTTCTATAGCGCTATTCAAGTATTCAGTCCCGTGTAGCTCAGTTGGTAGAGTATGGCGCCAGGGTTGTGGGTTCGATTCCCACGGGTGACCAGTATGAAAAATAAATAAAAAATAAAGTATTCAAATGTATGCACTCACTACTGTAAGTCGTTCTGGATAAGAGCGTCTGCTAAAATGACATTAAAAAAGTAAAATACATAAAGAATCTCAAAGCGCTTTGAGTACAGTCATGTGTACACACAGTTCAATAATGCTGTCCATATGGGCAGTCAAACCTGTTAAGTATTTGATTATAGAGTGGATATCATATGTTGACATGATAAGACCTGTTGGTCTAACTAATGTGATGTTATGTGACATATAACTGTGTTTTCATGTAGGCACATATATGTGGCAGACTTATTTGACCACAACATACATGTTTTGGAGCGACTGGAAAGCAACGGTTTGGCCCCAGTGAAGGTAAAATATAAGAAATGGCAGATTTGTATATTTGCTTTGCACCTGGTAAGTAGTCAAATTTGACAATTTAAACATGCTGCTCTGTTGAAAGCCTTATAAATACTATGCTTATTCTCTCCCATTGCTCGTTTACCTGAAGCCAGAATAGGCCCTTTAAAACTCATTTCATGATATTATTATTTTAAAAAGCATGAGCTGGCGCACACCCAGAGAAAATTATTTAGTGTAGAGGTGCTGACTAACGGCGAATAAACTGTAAGCTATAAAAACAAATAAAGAGAGTCCACCCTCTATATATAAACTCCCAGTAATGTATTGGGTAAAACACCAATGTTTCGGCATCATTGTGCCCTGAAGAAGGCACCCTCTGCTCTCAGACACCCTGAAGAAGGCACCCTCTGCTCTCAGACACCCTGAAGAAGGCACCCTCTGCTCTCAGACACCCTGAAGAAGGCACCCTCTGCTCTCAGACACCCTGAAGAAGGCACAGTGATGCCGAAACGTTGGTACTTTATATATAGAGTGTGGGACTCTCTTTATTTTTATAGCTTACATGATTATTCTTTGTCACCAGGTCGTGGAAGTGGGCTCTCTTGTTGACAACATTTATGTTGACCCTGAGACTGGCGATTTGTGGATAGGTTGTCACCCTAATGGCTGGAAACTATTCCAGAAGGATCTACCTGGATCTGAGGTTTGTACACCTGCCGTGTGGTATTGTAACTTCATGAGTGAACTACTTTCTGTATCATATACCAGCAGTGTATCTCTGTACTATATACCAACATTGTTTTCACATATTCACCCCTCTACTATGCTATAGGTAAATGGTGCTGGACTACAGTACATTCCAGCTACTGTAAGAGAGGAAACACACCAGAGCAAGGGACTTAGAGAGGATTTAGAGTGGACTTGGAGAGGACTTGGAGAGGACTTAGAGTGGACTTAGAGTGGACTTAGAGAGGACTTGGAGTGGACTTAGAGAGGACTTGGAGTGGACTTAGAGTGGCCCAAAAAGCAGCGGGGTGGGTGTCTTTCTATTGTGTTCCCTCTGTAATGCTCATTTCTGGTATACATCTACATTTCATGATATTGTTTTCACAGGTGATTCAGATTAAAGACATCCACTCTGAGAAGCCAGTGGTGACCCAGGTGTATGCTGATGACGGCAGTGTGCTCATAGGATCCTCTGTAGCAGCTCCCTACGGAGCAAAGCTTCTCATAGGAACAGTCTACCACAAAGCCCTGGTCTGTGATCTAGCCACAGTAGACCAGTAGCCAATGCTCTATGTAGAAAACAGCCATCCGACATGGGTTGTGGTCGGAAGAGTGCAAGTGTTCAACGTACTGAACGTTGCAGATAGAAATGCAATGAATAGAGTTAACAGTCAATGTTGTACCCTACTGAATGCTACAGTGGCCTGTGGGGTTCAACTTGCCAGGTAAAAAAAAATATGTTAAAGTTAATTCATTGCACACTGTCTAATCACTGGGAGTTAGCTGGCAGAATGATAGGTCAAAGATACCGCTGGTGCACTGAACAAGACCTGTAATGATAAATAGTAGTGTTACAAGTGCCACATTGTATAAAAGTTGATAAATGACTGGGTAAATAACATTTGAAATGCATGACATTGGTTTCTTAATAAGAATAAGCTGACAGTTAAAGTTATGTTTAAATTACAGGTACATCTCACTGATTTAACATGGAAAACGTGTTTTATAAGCTTTTTTACCCTCTTTGTAATGTGAACTAGATTCAGTTGTGATGTACCTGAATATTGTTTTCTTCGCAAGTGTGTTAAATCTTTACATTAAATGTGTGCTGCTAATTTGGCATGCAAGTCTTATATGTTGTTTAGTTGTCAACTCATTTGCCTTAATAGCAGCAAACAAGTGATGTGGACAATATCATCATCATGAACCATGGGATCACAGTTTTGGGACTGCAGATTTTACCTCCCTCTAGGAATTGCTAAACTACAGCTCGCCCCATGGTTCAACTGTGCAACTGCACTCTGCCTGTACACAACACACCCACATTTTGCACACTGCTTTCATAACCTTTGACCAAGGGAAAGAGTTTGTCTGCCATGAAGAGGGTGCTTGTGACCATCTGCATTGCTGCTTTGGCAGCTCTTTTTGGGCAAAGACTTCTTAAATTGAGGTAGGCTGCATAGTTGCTTAACATGTTAACATTATAGGGCATGTGTATCTTCTTTGGAATGTCTTCTTCGGAATCATGCTACACATTGTTACATTTCCCTGATCAGAGTTTAGAATATTGACCTGATTGAAGCTATCAACAGAGGCCTCAGACATTAAAAGTGAGATTTGAAAAACAGGCTTTTAGCGACTTTGAAGTTAACTGCTTTAGGTGAATTGAGCAGTTGTGTGAGAGTGTCAAACACTTAATTAAGAGTGATCTGTGTTGCTTTTGCTTTCACTTCAAAGTAATATTTACCGGCTTCAATTTGCAGTGAAATAGCCCTTGCCAACAGAGAAGTGCCTGTTAAACGCCTCCCCAACTGTCACCTGTTAAAGAATATAGGTATGTCTGAACCAGTCCATTAAATTGTAATAATACATTGACATTATAACAGTTAATTCTTTAATTAATACATATAGTATAGTTCTTCTGTGTTGCACAGTGGTCTAAGGTAGCTGTGCCACTAGTTCGAATCCAGGCTCTATCGTAGCCGGCCGCGACGGGGAGACCCATGCGGCGGCGCACAATTGGCCCAGCGTCGTCCAGGGTAGGGGAGGGATTTAGCTCAGTTGGTAGAGCATGGCGTTTGCAACGCCAGGGTTGTGGGTTCGATTCCCACGGGGGTCCAGTATGAAAAAATAAAAAAATAATGTATGCACTCACTAACTGTAAGTCGCTCTGGATAAGAGCGTCTGCTAAATGACTAAAATGTAAATGTAGATAGATACCAATGTAATGTTGAAGTAGCCTGTTATACTTAAAATAATAAGTAATCTCAGTCTATGTGATGAGATCAGGCTGTATATCCGCTACTTGGTCAAATGTCAGGGTTGAAGTCCATTAGACTAATAGGCCAAGTATCAACGTGTCACAGCATGCTTTGTTTGGTGTCATGATGATGTTATATTCAATGAAGACCTGTGGCCTATGGGATTTTTAAAAAACACATTGATATAGGCTATTGCTAATGGTATGTGGACAATCCTATTTGTACAGACTATGGAGCAGAGGACTTCACCATACTTAGAGATGGACTGGCCATCATAAGCACCGTAAGTAATATCCATTATCATGATGAGACTTATTTGACTAAATCAGTGCGATCCTTCATGGCAAGCGTATTCTGGTAATGCACATTGAATAATGAAAACATAGTCCTCAATCCATAATATTACATTTTTAACATACCTCCCTCACACCTAGGATAAAATTAACTATTTTTACAGAATAAAACGGCTGTTTTTAACAATACAATAAATACACCCTGAGTGTTTCCTAAATGGCACCCTATTCCCTTCATAGTGCACTACTCTGGTCAAAAGTAGTTCACTATATAGGGAATAGGGTGCCATTTAGGACTTAGCCCTGTCACTCATGTCAAATCATTACCGCCCACACAGGGCTTGAAGTATCCTGGACTGCCCTCCTTCTCTGATGACCCAGGGAAGATCTATACCCTGGACCTGCTGGACCCCAGACTGACCCCTGTGGAGCTGACAATCAAAGGAGACCTGGACCGGGACTCTTTCAACCCCCATGGAATCAGTATCTACATTGACGAGACAGGTAAAGTATGGGAGATTTAGCTCTCACACATGAAATGAGTTTGTTTCAAAAACGTGGCACAGGGTGTAGTACAGTACAGTATATAGCAAAACATGTGCCAGCAATTATTCTAGGTACTCAAGTCAGAAGTCGCAGCAAATCCCTCCATTCCAGACCAGATTATCCCAAATTAGGAACACCCCATCAGAACACTGCCTAAGGAATTATGAACAATACTGTGTGAGTGTGTCCCTTCCCTGTCAAGCAATAGAGAGCCTTAGACACGACAGGGGAGAGTAGAGAGCATATTTCTCACTGCTGGACTCCCATCTCCTTCCAGATAAAACCATCCATCTGTTTGTTGTCAATCACCCTCAACATTACACGAGCCAGGTAGAGATCTTTCTATTTGTCGAAGAGGACAACACCATTGTGCACCTGAAAACTATAAAGCATGATCTCCTTCATAGGTAGGTGTGAGATTTTTACATTTACATGATGTGGATTAACCACATTGGCGATGTACTGTACAGTATGACCAGTGAGAGTTCCACAGTGGTTTGTTTCTGCTTGGCTAACTCTGTATGTTTTTGCCTTTCCTTTCTCAGTGTGAATGACATTGTGGCTGTGGGAGTGGAGAGCTTCTATGCCACCAACGATCACTCCTATCCCAGTGAAGTGCTCCACATGCTGGCTGTCTTCCTGGGTCTACCCTGGGCCGATGTAGTTTACTACAGCCCTGAAGGAGTGAAGGCAGTGGGCGATGGCTTCCTATCTGCAAACGGCATCAACATGTCGCCCGACAAAAGGTTCCTTCTTTGTTTCCACAATGGAAAATGTAACCGTTTAAAATGTACAAATCTGTTGTCCTCTTTGGAAGTGTGTTATGCAGTAAAACAATACATGTGGGTTTTTTTCAGGTATTTATACGTGTCCGCTATTATGGACCATGAGATTGCTGTTTTTGAGATAACCAAAAGCAAAGACTTGGTACATGTCAAGGTGAAACTTTTTCAATACATAAAATATGAATGCATAATTCTTTACAGGCACAATATTATATTTTGTATTGTTTATAGAGATAGTCCAACCACTGTATTACAATCAGTTATCACATTCCTAATGAAATCTGTCTCCAACCAGTCTGTAGCCGTTGGGTCTCTTTGTGACAACATCGAGGTGGACCATGTGACAGGTGACATATGGCTGGGTTGTCACCCTAATGGAGCAAAGTTAACAGCATGTGACCCTAAGGATCCACCTGGATCGGAGGTTAGTACGTCATTTTCCATGTCTAGTTCTACTATTTTATAGGTGTAAATTCACTCTGATCTCACTCAGTCCCAAATGGCAACCTATTCCCTATATATAGTACACTGCCTATGGGCCTTGGGCATTTGGGACACAGACCATGTATCATTACGAAAAGCTTTAATTGGTATTCTTTATCATATTATTTTTTTATATAGGTCATTAGGATTCAGGACATCCACTCTGAGAAGCCAGTGGTGACCCAGGTGTATGCTGATGACGGGAGTGTGCTCATAGGATCCTCTGTAGCAGCTCCCTATGAAGGAAAGCTTCTCATAGGAACAGTCTACCACAAAGCCCTGGTCTGTGATCTGAAGTAGCCAATGATTCCTTTCAGACATCTCATTTCAAAGTCTTTGTGTATATATAGATGCAGTAATGACACTCAAACCGTATTGTACTCCAAATCTGTGCTGTTTCTGTATAGTACATCGTGTCTGGTGTAATATGATTGAAAAGTATAAATATTCCACACGGTTGCCCCAATATAACACTGCAATTGCTGTGATGCAATGGCATGTGTCATTATGTTACTCTTTTAAAGTCCTTACCTCTCAATAGTGTCTGATGCAGGTGCGTAGGAGTCAAAATAACAATACTGGAAGAGATGGAGCCCTGCACACTGTCCAAAAAATTAATAAATCTGAGGCTTGATGTGTTATTATGTTTACATGTATCTTGATGGACTATTTGTATTGATTTAACAGTTATATTCCATTCTCTGACATTGACAAATTGTTGATAATCGATCTTTGAGAGGTTTTTTTTTTTTATGACAAAACAAAAAATGTTTATATCTTACATCTCCTTTTTCAAGTCCACACAACCACTACATCTGCTCATATAACAACATGGAAATTGCATAGAAACTCATGTAAACTGTATTTCTGAAGGCAGTTTGTAACAACAGACAAACTACGTTGCTTTCAGTTTTCTCAAAGTGGGAGGTAAATCATACCGGCAGCTCTAAGGAGTCCAGTGTTTGATATACTTTTCCTTTCTTTACTTTTCCCACAGACCAAAATGTGTTTTTAACATCAAGATAAACTTTACAGAGAAGACAGGAAGTTGTCTCGACAGTATATTCATGATCTTAGGCATTGATAATCCTGGGTCATACATTTCGCTGATCACTATGTTAAGGAAAACCGGATAAAATTTGGACCCACTCCTCACCACAGGGGAATATGACCAATCCTAACCCTGCCATTGTCTCTGGTTGTCTCAGGACCTTGTTATGACACTTCTACATATAAAAAGGTGTGATGGGTCCAATAAATAAAAAGGTGTGATGATCCGCGGACCCATCACAGACCCATCACACCTTTTTATTTATCTGAATTCACGGGTTTTACACACCAACCAAACTTCTAGTAGAGCGCGATGGTTCCCTTTTGATTACATCATTCAGTTCTCCATGAAGAGGGTGGATCCAAGGCTTCAGACTTTCTCATCCTCTCCCGAATCCCCTTCCACTACCTTTGATACAGTAAACCTATTCTCTCCACCATCTTGGTTCTGAACATTCTCCTCTTTGTTGATGTTAGGATCTAGATCGGCGGGGTTGAGGTTCTCTTTTGAGTTGGACACATTAACAGCCTCCTCCTCTTTAGTCTCTCTACCCAGACAGTTCTCCTCAAACACAGGGTCTCCCATAAAGACAGGGTCGTCCTCGATAAGCCTCTGCCCCTCCTCTCCCATCCCAAAGCTACTTAGTAACATATTGTGACTGATGCTGAGGTGGCGCCTCAGGCGGCGTGGGGAATGCTCCAGGGTTTGGATATTCGTCCCCAGGATGTCGCTACAGCTCTTCGAGCGACTCATCTCCTTGAATTCCTTCCCTGTCTTCGGCTTTGCGGCAGCACCGATCTGCCTGATGGCGGTGCTGTAGTCCTCCTGCTTCTCAGAGAGGAAGTTGAAGATGTCGACGGCGGTGGGGAGGCGGCGAGGGCTGCGGATGTCGTCCTTCTCGGGCTGCCATCGATGGTCCAGGTGGTCCATCCTGTGTCTCTGCCTCCTCTTCTTCAGGACCTTGTGGGCCGACACAACCATGTGGACGTTCCAGCTGAAGAACAGAGACAGCCAGGCCAGACCCATGTAAATCCACACCTCTACTAACACCCGGTACAGCCTCGGGTAGTCTATGTTCGGATTGATACCTGTGGAGTCAAAAAGAGAACATAGTTTAATTAACTTTATACAACGGGTGGTTCTAATCCTGAATGCTGATTGGTTAAAACCGCATTCCTGCCGGTGTCTATTCCACAAGTTACCACCGGCTAAATCTATGACGTTAAAATGCCTATTTACTCTGTTCCACATAGTTCAATGAAGTATATATGACCCTATCTTCGGCTTGGACCAAGCAGGATGCACCAGGCAATGAATCCACCTCCAAAGAACTTCATGGTCCTCTAACGTGAATTAGGTGATATCATTCTTCACATATCTCTTTAACATAAACTTATATTTTTCCAAGGAATGCCATCTACTCCATGAAAAGTCTATGTAACTACCTGCGACGTAGTCCCCGAAGCCGACAGTGGTGAGAGTGATGAAGGAGAAGTAGAAGCCCTCCAGGTAGGACCATCCCTCCAGGGACATGAACACAAACGGGGGGATCACCAGGTGTACCAGCAGACCCCACAGGAGGAAGATGGCCGTACAGATCAACTGGACCTTTTTCTGCAGACGTCACGCAGGGAGAATCAATCAATCATTCAAATTTATTTTATAAACCCCAGAGAGCAACCAAAGCAGAAACTAAAGCATGGTGAGAGCAATGGCATGTGACACAAGTGACAATGTTAGACCAATCCCCTTGATTTGACCATGTCAATTGTCATTTTTGAGTGTTCCACCAGATCTGGTAAAAAAGCTAACATCTCTTGTAGGCTAATTCTTCTACATTAGTTGGACCATACAGGATTCAGTAATTAGTACCTACGCAGCTACAGTGGCTAAATGTGGCTTGTTAATGGTTAATCCTCTGTTAATATATGATTAAGTCATGTATTGCACCTCCCCCAAAGTCATTGATAGAAATCCAAATCACCACATTGAACGTGCTGAGAGACTCCCAGTGAGTCTTACCACACTAAAGCGTTTGCGTATCAGGACCTGTCCCAGGCGCTTGGCTCTGTCTCCGAAGAATGAGCCCAGCTCACTAATCCAGGTGAGGCAGAGAGGGATCCCACACAGGCCATACAGGATGCAGAATATACGGCCACCAACCGTTTTTGGGGCAACATTACCATAACCTGCAAATCACAAACGTATAGGCTTTCAGACAGGGGTGGCAGCTTCATTTCTGCTATGGTTAGACATTGGGTAACTGAGTTGGCAGCAGTTATCGGAGAGATGTACATGATTCAATGTTTCCAGTGTTGTATTCAAGATATTGCCCACCTATGGTAGTGACAATAGTGGCAGCAAAGACAACCGAATTGGTCCAATCCCAGTTGTTGTAGGTATTCTCTCCAGTAACGGTCACACCTTGTCCAGCAGCGTCTGACACCACCTAGGGAACAGAGTGGGTTATCACACAAACTGAGCTGATTGGGGTTATCTTAAATGTTGACGGGTTTCAGTGTGATGAAGTTTAGGAGTCTTCACACTCTGGGTAAACACAGCTCTAGAGTTACTTTGGGAATCTAAGTTCACTGCGACTGAGCAAATAAAAATATAAAAATGTTCCCACTTTGATTTGTTTGAAAACTTATATTTTAATCATTGCACACAGACAATAGACCCCTCTTATATATTTCCAGAACCTTCTAATTGAATCACACAACAATAATATATGGACTGAAAACGCCCTCTGTAGTCTCGTAAACCTGACAACAGCAGTGGCATTGAAACATTGGAGGCAACCCGGATGTCTGGAGAGACTACGCCCTCTGAAAAGATGCTGCCCCTTTGCTATTCCACGGTAGCAGAGTGACACTGAGACTCAGCTTTTTCCATTTAAAAAAACAATGATTGCAAGGTTAAACAAACCATACAACTCTATGCACAATGACTACTTTTAACCATTTCCACTGAAAACCTATTGACTTGAAGAACAGTGCAGACGCAAAGTTTGGAAACAGAATGACGGTTTGTGCTGTTTTCTGCCGTCATTCTGTTACCAAACTTTGCATCTGCACTGTTATCCAAGCAATGAAAATGCCAAACCAGTTCTTCTGAACTGTCCCAACATGCTGGCTTGGCTCCGTTGGTTAAAGAGCAGAGAGAAAATGAATGAAAATGCTTATAGGCTCATCAGAGTGTTGTGTTTTGTTGCTATAATTGAAACTTGATTAATAAGCGTAGTATCTATTAAATAGCGTAGTATCTATTTAAAAATATACACATATATTCTCAATAACACAGCCATATCAGTACTGACAAGGGACTTTAGATTAAATCATTTCAGATTATCTACATTGTTATTTTTTCATGTAGAATTACCCATTAAGCATTTGACTTCAGGCGACGTCTTTTGGATGTCTTTATCTGGTCCTCCGTATTTTGGGGGTATTTTTTTGGTGCCCTGATTTCAGGACCAATCTGAACCAATCATAGCCGTCCGGACCGGCCTCTATTTGGCCCAAACATAGACGTGGATCTGGTCCGCACCAACCAAATGTGTACTTATTTGGGGGCGTAGTTCATTAGAATAATACCCAACATGCTTTGCAAGTGTTTGTTTTTACATTTATAGTTTGGCCATTCAGCAGACGCTCTTATCCAGAGTGACTTACAGTCAAATCAAATCAAATTGTATTTGTCACATGCGCCGAATACAACAGGTGTAGACCTTACAGTGAAATGCTTATTTACAAGCCCTTAATCAACAATGCAGTTTTAAGAAAGAATACCAAAAAAATCCCCAAAAAATCCTATATAAAATAATACTAAATAAAAGTAACAAATAATTAAAGAGCAGCAGTAAAAATCACAATAGCGAGGCTATATACAGGGGGTACCGGGACCGAGTCAATGTGCGGGGGCACCGGTTAGTCGTGGTAATTAAGGTAACATGTACGTGTAGGTAGAGTTATTAAAGTGACTATGCATAGATAATAAACAGAGAGTAGCAGCAGTGTAAAAGAGGGGGGGGGTAGCCATTTGATTAGATGTTCAGGAGTCTTATGGCTTGGGGGTAGAAGCTGTTTAAAAGCCTCTTGGACCTAGACTTGGCGCCCCGGTACCGCTTGCCGTGCGGTAGCAGAGAGAATAATCTATGACTAGGGTGGCTTTGACCATTTTTAGGGCCTTCCTCTGACACCGCCTGGTATAGAGGTCCTGGATGACAGGAAGCTTGGCCCCAGTGATGTACTGGGCCGTACGCACTACCCTCTGTAGTGCCTTGCGGTCGGAGGCCGAGCAGTTGCCATACCAGGCAGTGATGCAACCAGTCAGGATGCTCTCGATGGTGCAGCTGTAGAACCTTTTGAGGATCTGAGGACCCATGCCAAATCTTTTCAGTCTCCTTAGGGGGAATAGGTTTTGTCGTGCCCTCTTCACGACTGTCTTGGTGTGCTTGGACCATGTTAGTTTGTTGGTGATGTGGAAACCAAGGAACTTGAAGCTCTCAACCTGCTCCACTACAGCCCCGTAAATGAGAATGGGGGCGCGCTCGGTCCTCTTCTTTTTCCTGTAGTCCACAATCATCTCCTTTGTCTTGATCACGTTGAGGGAGAGGTTGTTGTCCTGGCACCACACGGCCAGGTCTCTGACCTCCTCCCTATAGGCTGTCTCGTCGTTGTCGGTGATCAGGCCTACCACTGTTGTGTCATCGGCAAACTGAATGATGGTGTTGGAGTCGTGCCTGCGAGTACAGGAGGGGACTGAGCATGCACCCCTGAGGGGCCCCTGTGTTGAGGATCAGCATGGCGGATGTGCCGTTACCTACCCTTACCACATGGGGGCGGCCTGTCAGGAAGTCCAGGATCCAGTTGCAGAGGGAGGTGTTTAGTCCCAGGGTCCTTAGCTTAGTGATGAGCTTTGAGGGCACTATGGTGTTGAACGCTGAGCTGTAGTCAATGAATAGCATTTTCACATAGATGTTCCTTTTGGCCAGGTGTGAAAGGGCATTGTGGAGCGCAATAGAGATTGCATCATCTGTGGATCTGTTGGGGCGGAATGCAAATTGGAGTGGGTCTAGGGTTTCTGGGATAATGGAGTGATGTGAGCCATGACCAGCCTTTCAAAGCACTTCATGGCTACAGACGTGAGTGCTACGGGTCGGTAGTCATTTAGGCAGGTTACCTTAGTGTTCTTGGGCACATGGACTATGGTGGTCTGCTTGAAACATGTTGGTATTACAGACTCAGACAGGGAAAGGTTGAAAAGGTCAGTGAAGACACTTGCCAGTTGGTCAGCGCATGCTCGGAGTACACGTCCTGGTAATACGTCTGGCCCTGCGGCCTTGTGAATGTTGACCTGTTTAATGGTCTTACTCACATCGGCTACGGAGAGCGTGATCACACAGTCGTCCGGAACAGCTGATGCTCTCATTCATGTTTCAGTGTTACTTGCTTCGAAGCGAGCATAGAAGTAATTTAGCTCGTCTGGTAGGCTTGTGTCACTGGGCAGCTTGCTGCTGTGCTTCCCTTTGTAGTCTGTAATAGTTTGCAAGCCCTGCCACATCCGACGAGCGTCGGAGCCGGTGTAGTACGATTCAATCTTAGTCCTGTATTGACGCTTTGCCTGTTTGATGGTTCGTCGGAGGGCATAGCGGGATTTCTTATAAGCTTCCGGGTTAGAGTCCCGCTCCTTGAAAGCGGCAGCTCTACCCTTTAGCTCAGTGCGGATGTTGCCTGTAATCCATGGCTTCTGGTTGGGGTATGTACGTACAGTCACTGTGTGGACGACGTCATCGATGCACTTATTGATGAAGCCAGTGACTGATGTGGTGTACAGCTCAAAGCCATCGGAAGAATCCCGGAACATATTCTAGTCTGCGCTAGCAAAACAGTCCTGTAGCTTAGCATCTGCTTCATCTGACCACTTTTTTTATTGACCGAGTCACTGGTGCTTCCTGCTTTAGTTTTTGCTTGTAAGCAGGAATCAGGAGGATAGAATTATGGTCAGATTTGCCAAATGGAGGGTGAGGGAGAGCTTTATACGCGTCTCTGTGTGTGGAGTAAAGGTGGTCTAGAGTATTTTTTCCCCCTGGTTGCACATTTAACATGCTGGTAGAAATGAGGTAAAACGGATTTAAGTTTCCCTGCAATAAAGTCCATGGCCACTAGGAGCGCCGCCTCTTGTCTTACCAGAGGCTGTTGTTCTATCCTGCCGATACAGTGTATAACCCACCAGCTGTGGGTTATTCATGTCTTCATATCTTTGTTCATCCACGACTCGGTGAAACATAAGATATTACTGTTTTTAATGTCCTGTTGGTAGGATATTTGTGCCTGTAGTTCGGCCACTTTATTATCAATCGATTGTAAGTTGGCCAATAGTATCAGTGCATTCAACTAAGGTAGATAAACAACAACATATACAGTCATAGCAATAAATAAATAATCTGTAACCGTTACTGAGAATGTTATTGTAGTTAAAGTGGTCTGTTGGTTTATTCTGTATGTCGGACTACTTTGAACATCATTGCTGCCAGTTTTAAAACATTAGAAAAAGCTAACATAACTGCATGTGATAGATGGGAGCAATAATAAATATTTTGTTTCTTACAATATTGAAAATGTGTAACAGTTTACAATTCAATGACTGAAAAATACATATTTTCAACGTCTGGAAAATACCTATTTTACCTTTCATTCAGCACCTAAAATGCACCTGATTTCAACGTCCGGAAAATACGTATTTACAACGTCTGGAAAATACATATTTTTGACGTCCATATAACACTTATTTTCGAGGTCCCGGAAAAGAAGTATTCTAACCTTTCATTCAGCACCTGAAATGCACGAGATGTCAACCTCTGGAAAACACGTTTTTTCAACATCTTTTCGCTTACTGGGTATGTTTATTTTCCAGGGACAACATCCATGGTCCTAAATTGTTGTAGAACAGAAATAATGTAGGCCTAAAACATAGTGGCAATTCTACGGTAACAGAGGGATTCTGAGACTCGGATTTTTTCACTTTAAAATAAACAAAAAACAATGATTGCAAAAAAGTTAAACAAACCATACAACTCTATGCACAAGGACTACTTTTCACCATTTCCACTGAAATTTTTACAACAATACATTTACTTGAAGAACAGTGCAGATGCAAAGTGCAAAGAGTTGTATGGTTTGTTTAACTTTGCAATTATAGGTTTTTGTTAGACATACATTTTAAAGTGAAAAATCCGAGTCTCAGCATCACTGTAACACCTTGGAATTGACCATAGTGTAAAATACCATTTTAAAGATCTAATAAAGTTCCAATGCAGACCAAGCTGACAACACAATAATGATCATCATTAAAACAACGATTGGGAATATAATATATGTATTCTAAATTGAATCCCTACATACCCGCAAAATATAGTTCAGATCTTCTTTAGTCAAGCACGGATATGTTTTAAGAATGATTTCCTTTTGACGGGAATATTCGGACTTGGCCAGTTTCCATTTGGGTTCTTCAAGTATTTGAAATATCGCTGCCCCGATCGATAGGTAAAAAATTATACCTGACGTTAATAAAGGACCCTTATCAGACATGGCCGATCACTTTAAAATAATCCGCATTATAAAACTCGCATCGAAGTTGTTGCCCGAAAGATAGGACGCGTGTTGCATTCAAACTTCTCTTCCTGGTTCTTGTGCTAGGTAATTACAAACGTGGGATACTGGGATTGTGATGACACAATGGAGGAGGACGTATTCAATCCGTCCACATAAAACATAGTTACTGGTGTGCGCAATTGTTTAGCCTGTATACTTTTCAAAGAGACAGGAAAACTTTTTAAGTGACTTTCTGATTACCACAACCTAGCTATATGGTTTTAAAGCTGGAATCCGTAAGCGGTGAAACTGCCAAGTTAGCCTAGCTACTTCAAACAACGAACACAGTTTTTTTCCGCGTCGGGCATCATTGTACATCATTGCAGCGCGATAGAACAGCAGAGTATGTACTTCTCCGTTTCATAAACAATAACACATGCGCCTAGGTCGACCAGTGGCGGTGTTCTCTTTATGCGGATCTCAGATTGAATGCTGTGTGGATTAAAGGTCTCAAATTAAATATCTTTATTGACTTTTGACTGATTGAAAGTCTCTGGCTGGGGATGTGTTTATGAAAAGCAGCCACATAGACGTCTACCCTTAACGAAAAAGATTGCAGTCAGAGTGCAGTATAACAGCAGTACACTGTTGTATAACTGCAGTTAGAGTGCAGTATAACTGCAGTATGCTGCAGTACACTGCAGTTATACTGCAATTACTGCATCCAAAATACCACAGTTGACTGCAGTTACTGCACTTTTACTGCAGTTTCAAAACTGCAATCTTTTTTTTTGTAAGGGTATAATTGGTTCAGATTTGGTCTGGTCCATACCAGTCTTGATTTGGCCCTAACATAGATGTCTATGTTTGTTTGGACATCACAGTACAGTAGAGAACAGTACAGTAGCCTACTACATTACATTAAAGAAAAGTACAGTATAGTTCAGTACAATAGAGTATAGTACAGTATAATGTACTGAATTGTATCCTACTTTACTCTAATGTACTCTACTGAATTAAACTCTACTGTACTTTACTGAATTGAACTCTACTGTATTCTACTGAATTCAACTCTACTGTACTCTACTGAATTGAACTCTACTGTACTCTACTGAATAAAACTCTACTGTACTCTACTGAATTCAACTCTACTGTACTCTACTGAATTCAACTCTACTGTATTATACTGAATTCAACTCTACTGTACTCTACTGAATAAAATTCTACTGTACTCTACTGAATACAACTCCACTGTACTCTACTGAATTCAACTCTACTGTACTCTACTGAATAAAACTCTACTGTACTATACTGAATTCAACTCTACTGTACTCTACTGAATTCAACTCTACTGTACTCTACTGAATTCAACTCTACTGTACTCTACTGAATAAAACTCTACTGTACTATACTGAATTCAACTCTACTGTACTCTACTGAATTCAACTCTACTGTACTCTACTGAATTCAACTCTACTGTCCTCCACTGAATAAAACGCTACTGTCCTGTACCGTACTGTAATGTATTCTGCTGTGCTCTACTGTACTGAACTGTGCTGTGCTGTTCAAACTTGTGAAACATAGCCTAGACGTCTATGATTCGTTCAGATTTGGTCTGGTCTGGAGCAACCAAATTTGTACAGAAAACACTGCTACTCCTACTGCTCTCTCCTCGTCTGACCATGTGTTCTCGCAGGAATCCTCATCTCTCCCAAGTGGACGTTCTCTCTTTCTCCCCTGACCCATCTGTCTATCTCCTCATTTGAATTCCATGCTGTCACAATCACTAGCCCATTCAAGCTTAACATCCTTATCATTTATCGCCCTCCAGGTTCCCTTGGAGAGTTCATCAATGAGCTTGACGCCTTGCTAAGTTCCTTTCCTGAGGATGGCTCACCCCTCACAGTTCTGGGTGACTTTAACCTCCCTACGTCTACCTTTGACTCATTTCTCTCTGCCTCCTTCTTTCCACTCCTCTCCTCTTTTGACCTCACCCTCTCACCGTCCCCCCCTACTCACAAGGCAGGCAGTACGCTTGACCTCATCTTTACTAGATTCTGTTCTTCTACTAATCTCACTGCAACTCCCCTCCAAGTCTCCGACCACTACTTTGTATCCCTTTCTCTCTCGCTCTCCTCCAACACAACTCACTCTGCCCCTACTCAGATGGTAATGCGCCGTCGCAACCTTCGCTCTCTCTCTCCCGCTACTCTCTCCTCTTCCATCCTATCATCTCTTCCCTCTGCTCAATCCTTCTTCCTCCAATCTCCTGATTCTGCCTCCCCAACCCTCCTCTCCTCCCTTTCTGCATCCTTTGACTCTCTATGTCCCCTATCCTCCCAGCCGGCTCGGTCCTCCCCTCCTGCTCCGTGGCTTGACGACACATTGCGAGCTCACAGAACAGGGCTCCGGGCAGCTGAGCGGAAATGGAGGAAAACTAGACTCCCTGCGGACCTGGCATCTTTTCACTCCCTCCTCTCTACATTTTCTTCCTCTGTTTCTGCTGCTAAAGCCACTTTCTACCACTCCAAATTCCAAGCAGCTGCCTCTAACCCTAGGAAGCTCTTTGCCACCTTCTCCTCCCTGCTGAATCCTCCTCCCCCCCCCCCCCCCCCCCCCCCCTCTCTGTGGATGACTTTGTCAACCATTTTGAAAAGAAGGTTGATGACATCCGATCCTCGTTTGTTAAGTCAAATGACACCGCTGGTCCTGCTCACACTGCCCTACCCTATGCTTTGACTTCTTTCTCCCCTCTCTCTCCAGATGAAATCTTGCGACTTGTGACGGCCGGCTGCCCAACAACCTGCCCGCTTGACCCTATCCCCTCCTCTCTTCTCCAGACCATTTCCGGAGACCTTCTCCCTTACCTCACCTCGCTCATCAACTCATCCTTGACCGCTGGCGATGTCCCTTCCGTCTTCAAGAGAGCGAGAGTTGCACCCTTTCTCAAAAAACCTACACTCGATCCCTCCGATGTCAACTACAGACCAGTATCCCTTCTTTCTTTTCTCTCCAAAACTCTTGAGCGTGCCATCTTTAGCCAATTCTCTTGCTATCTCTCTCAGAATGACCTTCTTGATCCAAACCAGACAGGTTTCAAGAATGGTCATTCAACTGAGACTGCTCTTATCTGTGTCACGGAGGTTCTCCGCACTGCTAAAGCTAACTCTCTCTCCTCGGCCTTCTAGACCTATCTGCTGCCTTTGATACTGTGAACCATCAGATCCTCCTCTCCACCCTCTCCGAGTTGGGCATCTCCAGCGCGGCTCACTCTTGGATTGCGTCCTACCTGACAGGTTGCTCCTACCAGGTGGCGTGGCGAGAATCTGTCTCCGCACCACGTGCTCTCACCACTGGTGTCCCCCAGGGCTCAGTTCTAGGCCCTCTCCTATTCTCGCTATACACCAAGTCACTTGGCTCTGTCATATCCTCACATAGCCTCTCCTATCATTGCTACGCAGACGACACACAATTAATCTTCTCCTTTCCCCCTTCTGATAACCAGGTGGCGAATCACATCTCTGCATGGCTGGCAGACATATCAGTGTGGATGACGGATCACCACCTCAAGCTGAACCTCGGCAAGACGGAGCTGCTCTTCTTCCCGGGGAAGGACTGCCCGTTCCATGATCTCGCCATCATGGTTGACAACTCCGTTGTGTCCTCCTCCCAGAGTGCAAAGAGCCTTGGCGTGACCCTGGACAACACCCTGTCGTTCTCCGCTAACATCAAGGCGGTGACCCGATCCTGTAGGTTCATGCACTACAACATTTGCAGAGTACGACCCTGCCTTACACAGGAAGTGGCACAAGTCCTAATCCAGGCACTTGTCATCTCCCGTCTGGATTACTGCAACTCGCTGTTGGCTGGGCTCCCTGCCTGTGCCATTAAACCCCTACTACTCATCCAGAACGCTGCAGCCCGTCTGGTGTTCAACCTTCCCAAGTTCTCTCACGTCACCCCGCTCCTCCACACACTCCACTGGCTTCCAGTTGAAGCTCGCATCTGCTTCAAGACCATGGTTTTGCCTATGGAGCTGTGAGGGGAACGGCACCTCCGTACCTTCAGGCTCTGATCAGTCCCTACACCCAAACAAGGGCATTGTGTTCATCCACCTCTGGCCTGCTGGCCCCCCTACCTCTGCGGAAGCACAGTTCCCGCTCAGCCCAGTCAAAACTGTTCGCTGCTCTGGCACCCCAATGGTGGAACAAGCTCCCTCACGACGCCAGGACAGCGGAGTCATTCACCACCTTCCGGAGACACTTGAAACCCCACCTCTTGAAGGAATACCTGGGATAGGATAAAGTAATCCTTCTACCCCCCCTTACCCCACCCCCCAAAAAAATTAAAATAAATATTGTAAAGTGGTTGTTCCACTGGCTATCATAAGGTGAATGCACCAATTTGTAAGTCGCTCTGGATAAGAGCGTCTGCTAAATGACGAAAATGTAAATGTAAATGTACATGTTTGGGGGCCGAAGTCCATTAGTATAATCCCCAGCATGCTTTGCAAGTGTTTGTTTTTACGTTTACATTTTTTTCATTCAGCAGACGCTCTTATTCAGAGCGACGTGCAGTCAGTGCATTCAGCTAAGGTAGATAAACAACAACATTTCAAAGTCATAGCAAGACAAAAAATATTACTGAGAATATTACTGAGAATGTTATTGTAGTTGAAATGGTCTGTTGGTTTATCCTGCAGGTTGGACTACTTTGAACATCATTGCTGTCAGTTTTAAAGCTTTTGAAAAGCTAACATACAGTGGGGAGAACAAGTATTTGATACACTGCCGATTTTGCAGGTTTTCCTACTTACAAAGCATGTAGAGGTCTGTAATTTTTATCATAGGTACACTTCAACTGTGAGAGACGGAATCTAAAACAAAAATCCAGTAAATCACATTGTATGATTTTTAAGTAATTCATTCGCATTTTATTGCATGACATAAGTATTTGATCACCTACCAACCAGTAAGAATTCCGGCTCTCACAGACCTGTTAGTTTTTATTTAAGAAGCCCTCCTGTTCTCCACTCATTACCTGTATTAACTGCACCTGTTTGAACTCGTTACCTGTATAAAAGACACCTGTCCACACAATAAATCAAACAGTCTCCAACCTCTCCACAATGGCCAAGA